CGTTGTTTAACCCTTTCAAGATCCCTTTCTTTTAGACGGAAATCTCGTGCTTGCGGACAATTTTTTCATTTCCCAAGGGTGTCCGCTTACGGGAGATTCTACTGTAGTAGTAATACCAATAGTAATTCCAATGGAATGTTTTGGGTCTTGTAATAGTAATTAAGCATATAACTATAATATATTACACTATCATTTGGCAATGAGAGACAATAGGTTAATACCACATGACTGGACTATCCTGCTCACGTCCTTGACATTTATTATTTGTAATTTTCAGAGTGTATCCTTACACGAATACTGTCRATGGTAACTGGCATCATGTGTGTTTCTCATGGAGGAACAGCGACGGTGCCTACAAGGTGTATGTCAATGGCTCGTTGCATTTCCAAGGAACTCGAGACGCAGGGTACGTTATTCCTAGTGGAACCATCTTACTTGGTCAAGAGGCAGATAGTTACGTTGGGAGTTTTKMSTCAAGTCAAAGTTTCCAGGGCAACCTAACTAGTTTTAACTTGTGGAACAGAGTCCTTAACGCGCAAGAAGTGTCCGAGCTTGTCAAATCACCTTGTCAATGGGCTGGGCAAGGCAATATTGTAGCCTGGTCAGATATCATGAGCAGAGGAGAAGGTCAGGCCAAACAGATTATCTCCAATTTTTGCTGCAATGACATGATTTATTAAACACACTTTATATCAACATGACCACGACCTGAAATCACACAGGGAAAATAAACGTTTGATCGATGTTAACAGTTGTACTTGGCTAGATGCTAATTGCACTCGTGCGATATCGCATTGAATTGTGAAATAGACTTCTGAACCTTTTACGTCACTACTTGATTTTCAATGCATTGTGGGATCAGTTTCAAGAGAAAACAAAAGAAATCCGCCATGTTTTGTCCGAAACATGTCCTACAATGCATTGCGTATAATTGTACATGACGTAAAAGCTGCAGAGATCTATTCATCACGGGATCCCATATCACATAATAAACTCGTTCGCTGATTGGTCCGAGATGACGAAAATGTGACGTACATAGTGAAGGATACAGCACGATTCAGCACGATTTCACGATTCAGTGAAAAATCAGGGATCCCGCGCGGTTGAATTGTGTTTTTGTCGTATTTCTTTTTCCTTTTTTTTGACAAATAACAATTTAAGTAACAAAACAACAATTTAAGAAACCAAAATATATATGCAGGCTTTGTTACAATATCGCTTTCTTAAAAAACGACCAATATTTGTTGGCAGATTGAAAAGCTAAATTCAATGAAAAATCAGGGATACCGCGTTTTTCGCGACTCGTGATATCGTTTTTCTCGTGAATTTCATCGTGGAATTCCCTCTTCATCCAATGAATTTCATCCAATAGATTTGGTCTTGGGAGTACGAGTCAATATTTCTTATTCATTGTTTTCTGAAAATTCTGCATAAGCAAAAAGGCCATTTTCAAATTTTATAGGTGTATGGTTATATACAAAAGAATTAACGACGAGGTCCTGGGGAGACAAAATAATCATCGATTGTTTCTTTCTACCCCTTAGGTGTCTTCATTCCTTTTTGCATTTCAACTCACCCAAATAATTGCTGTTAAAAAACATCCATCCAAGCAAAGCTGTTAACATTACATTTTACATATTCATTCTCACTTATTTGTCATATACATCACTTAAACCTCAATAAATTTACTTAAAAAGGATTTCATGTTAATATTGAAATATAGTCATCTTTTAAAAGTTACTGACATTTAGATTCAAAAGAGATTAAGTCTTACGAAATATTTTGAAATTTCAGCTAGTATGTTTCTTGATAAAGAAACAGAGTCGTCTCTAGCTCGAAAAATACAAATTTCTTTATCATGAGATTAAGTTTTTTAATTTTGCATTTGTAAATCTTTCTTTGGGTCTTTCGTTGGCTTAAAGTAATCGATCTAGGTTTCTGTGTACTAAGAATTTGAGGTGACAGGTAATTTTTTATAGTTTATCCCTTGAGAACTCAAGAAGAGTGTTCACGTTCCCTTTGTTTTGGTCGTAATCATGGAGAAATGTTTTGTTCGCGATCAGAGGGTTGAAGTTGATCAAGGTGCATGAGGTAGTACCCTTTAGCGTAGGAGAGTGCTTTAAACCCTTCTTCTTTGTAATGATCATGTAACGTGATCCTTTCCACGGGAATTTCTTGTCCATCACGCGTAATGCGAATGTTAGACTTACCCATGTTAGAAAAATTGTACGGAGAGTAACTGTAATCCTCATTGAACGCCTCGCCACGAATACATCCCAACACTAAGTACTTAGGACAATTTCTAGAAAAGACATTGTTCCAATCGTACATACGACGACGTCCGTCGAGTTAAGTTAAGGTCGAGTTAAGGTCGGTTCCAATAGATGACAAATCCCAGTTCACATCATTGAGGAAGCAGTTTGAGGGTTCTAAGCAGGAATGTTGGGCGTTAGGGAAAAGTGCACTTTTCTGCCTCCGCAGGCCAGCAGACCATTGTTTGATCCATCGAATCAGTTCTGCATTGGTTGGGCTTCCTCCAATACCCTGCTTTTGCCGATCCTAGGGTGACAGACAAACGAGGATTGTATTGGGGTTCAATTCGTCAATACGGCCTGGGGTGTCTAGATACCACACTTCATGATTGGTCAAGTTGTTCTTTTTTCTTCAGATCCAAAGTCGAAGAGTCGGTTTATGTAAACCAAKAGATGATAGTTGTCCTCGGTGCTTTTTTATCGACAAATATTTCATGGATGTGATTTTTGCATATTACTCGAAATCGAACAGTTGAATTTGTTTTTAACTATTCAAAAACGTTATGCAATAGTTTGAAGTTAATGATGATGTCTACCGCTTTTCTGGATCTCATCAATTTTTTGAGATATTTGGCAAAAACGAATTTCGACAAAATGYAAATTCCGTTGCCTAGGTAACGTTAATAGAGCTAAATATCATGACAAACAAAACTTTGGTCAAGATTTTCAAAAAGCGAAGTAAAAATGAGAGGTATGGGCGAAAAACAACTGTAGGAAGCCACCTTTAAAGTTACTCCATTAGATGGAGTTAACTCCCTTGACAGAGTTATATCGACTCCCTGAAAATAACAGTGGATTATTTGTATCCTCAACTTAGTTACAACAAGAGAAAATGAGCTCATTTTCTCTTGGTTACAAACAAATCTAAAGACAAAGTCATGTCTTTCCCGAGAAAGTCTACCATAGACAAGATTGTCTTGGAAAAATTCACGTTGTCTTTGTCTGAGTACACCATAGCCTTATGGTTTCAAGCAGATCCAGGAACCTCAGCACATTCTGTATTTCAGTACCTTAAAGCATCAGGAACTCTCGAACAATATGTTTTATACTGACATACAAAATCCTACATGTACGTCATTGTAGGGAGTGGATACTGGCTGATGTAAGTCGCATTATCCTTAGASAATTWATAAGATAAAAGTTTGCCTTGCATTTAAGAAAGAAAAAAGAACTAATAGTTTGAAAATTTAAAGAAAGAAAGAAAAAAATATTGTTTAAAAGCTGCTCGAGTCAAGAATCGTCAGAATCGAACCGCGAGAATCGAAGCCGCGATCCTAAGTTGGACGCTATTCGTGTACGAYAGTCTGTGTAAAAATCAAAATAATGGCTAAAAAAGGTAAGGACTTTGATTCTCTATATTGTTTATTTTTTGAAATAACCAAGTGCCATTTCTTAACACCATTGAGTGTTAGATTGATTGATCGATTGATTCAATAACTGGTTGATTGGGTTGATAGAGATCAAATGATTATAGTTGATAGATTAAAATGTATCCTTGTTGAATTTTATAATGCTTTATTGAGTGTAAATCACATCGTAACTACTGAATGATGACATCTTTTGGTCAGTTTGTTTTCTAAATTATCCTGATCTACTGAGATAATATGAAGCCAAAACTCTTGATACTTTTGTCGCCGTTATCTGGACTGCATCGGGCTTCATTTCCAACGCTGTTGCTTCTGTCTTGCCCACAGTAATGACCGCCGGTCCCAAATCCAATACGTGAATCGGGGGAGTTGCAGTTGTTCTCTTGGTTTGAAATAATTCCGATTCTTGCCATAGAGTGATCATGGTTTCTCACGTTGAATCCCTCACGGTTACAATTACGCTGGAGTGATGAGCCGGGAACCAAGGATTTCCATGCATTGCGCCCTAAGCCTGTGGATCGTTGCCGATTGTCCGCAATAAGTGAGTACAAAGATGAAGCTTTCTGGGGAAGCTTCAGCCATCTMATTGTGTTTCCAGTCTTCATTCCCAAGCAAAGAGCATTGAATGGTAAWTCTGAATAGGTTTCCAGTTTTGTCTCTTGTTCACTGAGTCCGCTGGCTGCAGCAGCAGTATTGTACGTTGCTTTGTTGGTCCAGTAGTGTGAATTGTATCGGAAAGTGCTCTTAAAGTAAAACAATAAA